CCAATAGATCTGTTTTGGAAGAAGTGCAGCCAGAGTGCTCCTTGGAGGCCAGGATGGCTAAGCTTCGTCTCTCCTACTTTGGACATGTAGTCCGGAGGAAACAATCGTTGGAGAAGGATGTCATGCTGGGTAGGGTGGAGGGTCAGAGAAAAAGAGGAAGACCTCCAACGAGATGGATCGGCCAGGTGGCATCATTGATGGACTCGGGGGTGGCAGCGGTGGTGAGGTTGGCCCAGGATCGAACATTGTTTCGTTCTGCTGTGCATGGAGTCGCTATGAGTCGGTTCCGACTCGATGGCACCTGACAACAACAACAACATTCCTATCATAATCATACTTTAAAAAAGTAAGTATTTCTGTAAAGATGGAAATAGTATGGCATGTATAGTCTAAAGAAGAATTGTATTTTATAAAATTTTAATAAAATAATAACCATAAAAATTGTCATATTCTCTTGTTTTAATGGGAAATTGTCTATAAGCACAATGATTTGTACTGTATTAAAATGTATGATAGGCATAACAATAAGTGTATTAGGGATTTTCATTTTAGACTCCACTCCCCCCACCTCCCACCCTCAGAAATAGTAGGTGCTGCTTTGAGGATGATAGTAGGTAGTTCAATCATTTTATAATGTTTAATTTTATGGATTATATTGCTTTTATAATAAATCTCAAGACTAAATGAAGATACGTTAACTGTAACTTCGAGCAATCTAGATTTTTCTCCCTAAGTTTCCACCCACCAGCAGACATAAGAAAAAGTCATATGGATTGGCTGAGTTTTAGGCTATCTTTTACAATTTAGATCGAGTAGTAGTAAAAGCATTGTATATAAATCAAATATTAAAAATTGAATACTTTTTAGGTTAGAAGTAGAAGCTGTCAACATGAAAGAATCTGGTATTAAATTCTAAAATAGAAAATGAAAAACATAATCTAATCTATCACTTAAATTCATAATTCATATGTACTGTGCTGGTGGGGTGCTGTAAGATCCACACTGGATTGCTAACCACATGGTTGGTGTTTCAAACCTACCAGCTGTTCCTTGGAAACCCTAATACAGGGTTGGTATGAATCAGAACTGACTCAACAGCACATAACAACAGCAACAGCATAATGTTAATTATCTAGAGAAGGCAGCATTCTGGATAAGAGAAGATCAATGATATATTTATATGTCTGACAATGTATCATAGCAAAAGTGGTTTCTAATGGCCGTGGCCTAAGATGCTGTAATGTCAAAACTTTTCATCATGACAGTAGACAGTAGACTTTCTAGAGTTCAAATAAAAATATCTATATCTATTTCCACACTTTCCAAAGTAGAAAGTTCATTTTATTTTTTATTTGAAAGCAAAATAGAAACAACTTGAAGTTCCCTACTATCTTTTATAATGTTATGGTTGTTAAGTGTCATCGAGTCAGTTCTGAATCATAGCGATCCTATGGGGTACCTGAGTAGTAGCTGGTGAATTTGAACCACCAACCTTGTGGTCCAAATCTACCTTGAGGTCTACTGCTTATCCTTCAGTGCCTCACCAGCTCTTCACAGAATATATTCTGGTACTCTTTTACCTGTTGTTGTTAGGTGCCATCATGTCAATTCTGAGTCATAGCGACCTTATGTATAAAATACTGCCTGTTCCTGTGCCATCCTCACAGTCATTGTTAAGCTTAAGCCCATTGCTGCTGCCACTGTGCTAATCCATCACATTGGGAGTCTGCCTCTGTTTTGTTGACCCTGCACTTTACCAAGCATGATGCCCTTCTCCAAGGACTGGTTCATCCTGATAATATGTCCGAAGTATGAGAGATGAAGTCATCCTGGTTTCTGAGGAGCATTCTGGCTGTACTTCTTCCAACACAGATGTGTTTGTTCTTCTGGTAGTCTATGGCACATCCAGTATTCTTCTCCAGTATCATAACTCAAATGCATCAGTTCTTCTGCAATCTTCCTTATTCCTTATTCAAGTTCTGCATGCAGATGAGGCTATTGAAAATACCATGGCTTGGGTCAGGTGCACCTTATTCAACTCAATTTGACATCTTTACTCTTAAACACTTTAAAGAAGTCTTGTGCTGCAGATTCGCCTAATGCAATACACTGTTTGATTTCCTGGCTGCTGCGTTCATGAATGTTAATAGTGGATCCATTGATAAGAATGTTGTTTATTGGTCCAGTAGTGAAGGTTTTTGTTTTCTTTACATTGAGGTGCAACCCATACTGGAGGCTGTGGTCTTTGATTTTCACAGTAAATTTTAAATCCTCTTTGTTTCAGCAAGCAATGTTGTATCATCTGCATATCGCAGGTTTTTAATGAGTTTTCCTCCAATTCTGATGCCATGTTCTTACATCTTCATATAATCCATATTTTCACATTATATGTTTATCGTTCAGATTGAATAAGTATAGTGAAAGAATACGAAGTAGTTTTAAATTTATAGGCTGTTAGTGATTATACATTTTTAAGGGCTGTTATGATGTAATAGGAGTTCTGGTGTAGTGCTGCAGGATAATGTGCTAGACTGGAAGGTCAGTTTGAACTACAGCGTCAGCTGTTCAAACCCACCAGCTGCTCCTTGAAAACCCTATATAGGGTCTCTATGAGTCGGAACCGACTCAACGGCACTTAACAACAAAAACAACATGATGTAATAGGAGTCCTAGTGCGGTGCTGTAGGTAAAGCACTGAACTGCTAACCACATGTTAGCAGTTCAAACTGACCAGCCACTCCTTAGAAATCATATACACGGTTGCTGTGGGTCAAAACTGACTCAACAGCATGTAACAACAACAAGTGATATAATACAGTGGTAGACTAGCATTTGTTTTGACCCTGATTCTACCAGTCCATAAAGATATTTGCCGTAGGGCTGGTAAAGTTCACCTTTGGCTTTTTTTTTCCCCCCTTTTTCATTTGCAACATGAGAGTAAAAATACCTTTAACCTGCCAGAATTTTTGCACTTATAAAATTAGATAATATTTGAAACCCAAAATATTATAAACATACAGATACTGATTTTATTATTTTGCATTGAAACTTTCGTAGAATGACTTTCCAGAATAGAGAAATTCTAGTTAAACTAGTAGTGTTTTGTTTTGATTTTTTCCCTAAGAATTTCTCAAGGACTATTTTTATCAGCTATTTTTCTACCTCTACCCCTACAGCTCTGGTAGCGTAGTGGTTAGGAATCGGGCTGCAAAGGTCAGCAGTTCGAAACTACCAGCTGCTCCACTGGAGAAAGATGAGGCTTTCTGCTCCCGTAAAGATTTACAGCCTCAGAAACCCTGCTCAGGGTCGCTATGGGTCAGAACCGACTCGATAGCACTTAACAACAACAACAATCCCTACCCCCAGTAGGGTGGAAAACATCGTAATAAATGAAGAAAAGATTGAAGTTGTCAAAGACTTCATTTATGGAAACAGCAGTCAAGAACTCAAACAACATGTGGCATTAGCAAATCTGCTGCACTAGACCTCTTCAGAGTGTTCAAGAGCAGTTTGAGGACTAAGGTGCACCTGACCTAAGCCATGCTATTTTTAATAGCCTCATACACATGCAAAAGTTAGATAATGAATAAGAGCACAAAAGAATTGATGCGTTTGAATTGTGGTGTTGGAGAATAATATTAAAGGTACTATTGATTGCCAGAAGCCCAAACAAATCTGTGTTAGAATGCTCCTTAGGAGCTAAAATTGCCAGACTTTGTCTCTCATACTCTGGACATATTATCAGGAGGGATGGGTCCCTAGAGAAGGATATCCTGCTTGGTAAAGTGGAGGGTCAGCAAAAAAGAGCCCCAAGATGGATTGGCATGGTGACGGTAGCATTGGGCTCAAGTGTAGCACCAGTTGTGAGGATGGTGCAGGACCAGGTGGTGTTTCCTTCTGTTGTACAGCGGGTCGCTGTGTGTCAGAACTGACTTGACGGTACCTAACAGCAGTCTCCACTGGGCTTCTCTTTCCTTCACTAAGACTGAAGGAGAAGCTTATATTTTTCAAAGAATGACATCATAGTTGTTGTTGTTAAGAGCCGTAGAGTCAGTTCTGACTCACAGTGACCCTGTATAGGGTTTCCAAGGAGCCACTAGTGAGCTTGAACTGTTGACCTTGCAGTTTAAACCGACTTTGCACTCCACAACGCCACACCAGGACTCCTCACATCATAGTGATATAAATAAAAAAATCTTCCAACATCCCCAAAACATGATTTAGACAAAACTGTATTGTTAATTGCTGTCAAATAGATTCCAATGGAAACTCCCAAGTGCCGTTGAGTTTGTTCCGACTCATAATGATGCTGTATAGGGTTTCTGAGAAGCAGCTAGTGTGTTTGAACTTCTGACCTTGTGGTTCAAACCGACCTTATGGTCGAGTGCTTATCCGATAGTGCCACACCAGGACTCCTGTTGTTGTTGTTGTTGTTGATAAGTGCCATCGAGTCGGTTCTGTACCATAGCAACCCTGTATAGGGTTTCCAAGGAGCACTTGGTGAGCTTGAACCACCGATGTTGTGGTTCAAATGACCTTGCAGTCCAATGCATTAATCCATAGCGCCACACCAAGACTCTTAGTCTGCCGTATATAGCCATTTATACCACCCAGGGACATCCCAGACATAGCTAGAGCAGTGGTCATGGAAATGTAGTTGCCACTACCCACATGTGACTGCAAGACTCTTGGAAGGTGGCTAGCATGTTAGAGGAGTTGAATGTTTTGCTTTACTGTAATTAATTTAAATTTCCATAACCACATATAGACTGAGATGAGCTAGAGTCCTTTCTTTCAGGCTTAGGAGCTGGCAAACAGTGCTAATAAGCCATTGTCCAATTGCATTGAACCAAGTGAAATGAGTAAGTTCCCAAAAAGCTTACCTGGTGTCTGATGACTGAGTCCTACATGTATTGTATAGTAATGCCAATAACTCCAGCTTTCCTCCACTCAAAAATTTACACTTTATCTCTTTGCTTGTTTTCCTTTTAACATTGCAGTTTGGACCAGAAAATCCCTTTAGGACACAGCAGATGGCTGCCCCTAGAAATATGCTTTCTGGATATGCTGAACCAGCTCATATCAATGATTTTATGTTTGAACAGCAAAGGAGAACTTTTGCCACATATGGTAAGATGATAAGACTCACAGTTTCAAGGTTGGCCTTATTAGAAGTGTGGTGTGTAACAGAGAGAGAGAGAGAACTGCTTTATCTTCTGTCTCTTTTAGTTCCCAAACAGAATAGTATGTTTTCATATACATACTTATAGTTAACAAACGAGAAGGTGAAATAGTTTTTTAACTGAAATGCTAAATGGGTTAAAATTTCTGAGTTGTAGAAATTATTGCGATCTTAACAGAATATTCATTGTTGTTGCACTTGGTCATGAGCATTTATTATTGAATGTCCACTCTATACAGATTGTTGTTGCAGTTGATAAATGATAGTGTTATGAGGTTATATTTTTTATCTGTACACAAATTGTTCATGCATACATACTCCTTTAGTATTAGTCATTTTAAGGCTATAATTATAAAATGATAAAACTGACACTAGAGCCATTTCAAATAAGACTCTCATACCTTATCTCTGAGATGTTTTCTGTTGATCACTGAGGGACATCAGAAAATAGAATGGCCACAAGTTTAAAACTTTTAAAATAATGAAAAATAATGACATCTTGGCCACGTTGGACTTAGAAAGGTTAATACACATACAAGGCTAGGAATCCCTTCTAGATGATGATCTTTGGAATGTCCTTGTTGAGAGTTGCACAGATTAGCAGCACTGAGTTTTTATACCGGATTTGCCCATGTGGAATGGTGCCTCTCCTCTTTCACTACAGTCATATGCTTTAAAGAGCTTTCTGGCAAGGTAGGTGAGCAGAGTAGATGGGAATGTTTGTATGTCTATTGCAGTTGTGATCTCTGTGCATCCATTACTTGTCCTCCTGTGTCTTTCCTAAAGGAATAATTGAAGAAACAGCAGATTTAATCATGTTTTTTAGCCATATATAACATTGTCTCCCTACTTTTTTCATTTTTATTTAGATTTTAGATTTAAGTACCTACTCCTTAGTATTAATAATCTTAAAGCTATAATTATTAAAGTTATAAAATTGGCACTAGAGCCATTTCAAATAAAGAGTAGCAAAAAAGAAGTTTAGCACTTCTAAAAATAAATTGGAAATCAGAAAGCTAGGTGTGATATTTAAAGAACTAAAATGTAGATATATTCATTTATTTGAGTCAGGATGGTAGAAAACTGATTAGACTGAAATCCCAGAGTGTCCGAGTTATGTCTTGTTCTGCTACTGGCTGACTTGTAGTGAGACTACAGCTCACATCTAGTTGACTTCTATTTGTAAAGAAGAAAAAATATCACCCCCTAATCACATGTGTTGACGAGAAGCAGTAGTGGTGATGGTGACGATAGTAAAGATATGGGGAAGGAAGAGATCACACGTAAGTTCTTTTCCAAAAGAAGAATACGGCCAAGTAAGTTGGAGATTAGTTCTTACACAGAAACAAGAAGGACCAGAGGTGATCCTCCGCCTTCTTCCCATTCTTCCTAAACACATTGTACAATATCATATAGGTAGACATGAATTTACTTTCAAGGTAGATTTTACATTCTAGATATGATTTTATGGTTGAGAAAGATTTTTAATTTAGAGAACGATAGTTTACATTTACATGCACTTCATAAAAGTCTCATTTAAAAACAAAATCCAATACAGAACACTATTCTGTACATCAGAGAGATGAAAGATAAAATAACTTATGGGATTTGAACCTGTGATTTCAGAGATCCTACTCCAAAGCTGTTTTTCTGCCATCAAGCTTTCTTCTTGGGCTAAGAACATATTTTAATGTTGAAAAACTATATGCAATTGAGCTTATAGCCAGGTGGTTGAGTCTTACTGTAGCATCTCAAAAGGGTGAGCTGAGCACCTACATCCTTAGCTTGTTTGAAAACTGTTTGCTGACAAATCTTTTTTTATTCCCTAAAAAAAGTTTCCTTTAGTCATTACATGAAAATTAAAATCTTAAGTGTATCCACTAGGATGTGCCCTTTTACAAGAAATGGGCTAATCCTTTTTATGTATCCTATGAGTGGTCACGTGGATTGTAGACCATAGACTGATCAATGCTCTAGCTGTTCTTCCTGCATATGCTGGATTGTGAATAAAACAGATTCGACAAAACATTTATTGAGCTCACACACCTGCTTGAGGAAAACCAATTTGGAGTTAATATCGGTTGGTAGGCTTTTCTTTCCTTAAATTCCTATAGACTGCTGAAGACCACATTCAGATAGAACGATGTATGTTAGAACTAGTTGAAAGAACATGTTCATCTGCTAGTAGGTATCCTTGATTATTTCTCTTACCAATATATATAATGTCATATATAATGAAATACAACAACAGAATGACTACAGGAGTTGGAGAGAGAATTGTCCTTACTAAGAATGACATTTTTTAAGTAGTAATATAATTAAATTTTATATATGATCAACTAAGCCCTATAGTATCTGTTACCAAAAAGAAAAAGGAAATGGTTTCTATACTTGTTAATGTTTCATATACATGGTATTTTTAAGCTCTTAGGAACTTTAAGATTGAAAATTTAAATTTTGTCCAGAAAAGCCTTTTATCATTGTAATGTAATTTAATGGTCAACTTTAGAGCTATTCTAAATAAAATGTAAATTATAAGAGAAGGATTAGTCCTAAGCCAAACAAATAATTTTGACATGTGGGAAGGAAAATGTGAAATGAATGTAGTTGTACAGTAATAAATGGATTGTAATGGCAAAAATGTAGTTACCCTTTTGTACTTTTTCTGTTTAGGTTATGCATTGGACCCTTCATTAGATAGTCATCAAGTGTCTACTAAATATATTGGTTCTGTAGAAGAAGCTGAAAAAAATCAAGGTAATTTAGTTGTACTATTTGATATCAAATAGACAAAGGGTAAGTCAAAAAGTATTCCTATTAGTTCATGCATACACAGCTTTATTCCCAACAAAACACATTTAAACTAGTCTCTGTGCTATTGTATGGTTCAGACAAGTTCTCTCAGTAATTCATTTCTTGTAGTCTATTAGGGCGCCTTCAAAACAGTCTGGTCCAAACTGGCTTCTGAGGGGATCTGCTGGGCAAGTTAAATTCAAGGTAGTGAGGTCAGCTCAGAAGGTTATGGTGACTGGCTTTTGGGATTCCAAAGCTGTCATCTCGATAGATTTTCTCCAAAGATACAGGATGATCATTAGGGATTATTATGAAGAATTTTTTTCCTTTTGTAACTGAAAACTGCATTGGTGAGAAAAAGGCCAGGAAAGTTGTGCCAAGGCATGTTTTCCATCATGACAACGCAGTTGTTTATTCTTGGAAAGGGTAACAAGGGCTAACCTATGAGAATTTTGTTGGGAAATCTTACACCATCTACCCTACAGCCTGATCTTGTCCCTTCAGACATCTGTTAGTTTCCCAGAACTCAACAGTTTAAAACAAAGATTTGAGTCCCTCAATGTCGGGGACCCGCCTCGACATTGGGGTTCAGTTCATGAGGAGAGGATACCTGACGGCGATTCATATATATCCAGAATACACAAAAGGAGACAAAGGAGACAAAGAGAGAGACAAAGAGGCACCCCAAAGCCAGGGTGGATACATCACTGATAGGCAGGCTTGGGACTACAGGCATCGTGGCCTCTGCAGGCAGCA